CCCTTGAAAATCACATGAGTAATCAAAATTCCCCTCCCATGATTGATCAAGCGTATTCATAAACATGTCATTCCAATCTTGATAAGGAGGATAAAATGAAGTGCAGGTGTCATCATCTTGAATATTTGTCAAAAAAATTAGGATGTTATTCCCATGAATAAACGAAAGTATTAAAATACATGGCATCTCGACTAAAACCTTCCATTAGGGTGAAAGAAAACCGATGAAAAACTCAACTTATAACTCAATAAACTCTGAAATACACCAATCTCAGGTAGCGGTGCCAAAAACTTGATAACGAATGTGATAACCGGATCCTGGTTATTACCCAAAGTATTTAATACGTGATTATCTGATTTAATAATTACGTGATAGCATGATCATTGATACATGCCGGTATGCGAATTTGTGAATTAATTGAATATATATATATATATATACATATATATATATATATTTGTGTGAATATATATATATATATACATATATATATATACATATATATATATATATATTTGTGTGAATATATATATATATATATATATATGATTATATTATGCAAGCATGTGCTATGTGTGAGCATGCATGGGGTATGTATGCATGTATGTGTTAGTGGTTATATGCATAGGTGTATATGTGGGATTGAGATGCATACACGTGGCTATGTGAGTTAGCCGACTTTCCATTTTGAGAAAGTATAAAAGAGGCTTCACCTCTTCATTTTGATGTTTCCCCTGCTATTTTTGAGAAAGTTGAGAGCCTTAAAGAAGTGTTGTCCGGTTTAGAAAAGGAGGTGTTTTCAAGGTGATTTCAAGTGTCAAGTTTCAAAAGGGTTGATTTCTAGCGTTTTGGATTCAAAAGCTTACAAAGTGAGTGGTTTCTAAATCTTTTGTATAAAGATTCTATTAGTTTTATTTGCATGTTTAGTATTGTTCTTATTTAAAAAGAAACCTTGATTTTATTGTCTAAGTGTTTATCCGGACAAAGAGTGACCGGATAAGCATTTAAACCGGACAAGCCTTAGGCGGTTTATTGTCCGGATTATCTTAAACCGGACAAGCCTTGAAAGGTTTATTGTCCGGATTGTTTTAAACCGGACAAGCTTTAAACGGTTTAGTGACCGGACTAGTTTAAACCGGACAAACCATGAGCGGTTTGTTGTCCGGAGTTGGTAAACCGGTTGAGTGTTGAGCAGTTTATAAATGGTAGTAGTATTTATGATTTTAAACTGAGAAGTAGGAATACGGCCATGTGGTGAGCGGTTTAGTCTTAAACCGAACGAGTCTTGAACGAACTGTTGTCCGGATTTGTTATCCGTTCAATATGAATTTTATTCTAAGTGTTAAACCGTTCAATGAATGTGTGATGTGTTGACCRGACTTGATATCCGGACAAAGTGGACTTTAGTCCAAGTGTTTTAAATCGGATGATTGTTGGCCGGATTTGTTGACCGGACTTGTTGACCGGATTTGTGAGGATGTCTTGTGTTTTAAAAGAAATTATTATTTTTATCAAAAAAATGAAGTTTTGATTTAAATATTTTCAAACTGATAATAATTCCAATGACTACGGTCTATTCGGAATTATCTTACAAATGTTTTGATGAAGTGATAAGGGTGGCATATCAAGGAGAGGTGTCCATTTG